CCCCAAAACCCCAAAACCCCAAAACCCCAAAACCCCAAAACCCCTCCTACTTATTTAAACCTGACTTAAGTTACTTTAAAATATAGTTGGATGGAGAGTTCTTGTTACTCCTCTTGTACTGAAGAGACTAAGGCGAGTTCTAGTAAGGCAAAGAAGAAGAAGGTGAAGAAAGCGAAGAAAGTGAAGAAGGAACTGGATGCCAAGGGGAAGAAGTTTATGGATTTGTTTAAGACTACTGAATTTATGAAGGTTTACTCTAAGACTCCGAGAGAGTCTGAATTGTCTGAAGTGTATGAAGATATTTGTAATATTGTGTCTCCTATATATAAGAGGGAGATAGATAAGATATTTGATGATTATCAAGATGATCCTGTGACTGCTGTAATGAAGCTTTGGACTTCAAAATTATTTATATCTGAACCAATCAACTTAGCCCTTATCCTAGATGCAAATGCCACATTTGACTACGATCCCGATAACTTGAGAAATTACTTCAGTCAACTTAAAACAAAATACAAAATAGATTATGATGAAGTGCTCAAGTACTCTATGAAATTTATAAGGATGATAAATTATTTCATTGTTGAGTATGCTACATGAGAAAACACTAAAAATAGAACCACCTATGGCTTCATCTCACAGGAAATATTCAAAAATAAGGAAGTTGGAGATACTTTTCGAATTCCAACATTTCAGCGTACTTCTGAAGACAAAGAAGGCGCCCTACAACTCCAGACTATCGAAAATTCTGGTGACTCGATGTACTTAGCTATTTACAGGATCCCTAAAGGATGCTATAATGCTGGAAAAATTGGAGAGAGAAGCAAATACGAAATAGAGGAAGAAACTCTGATTCCTCCTTACACTCTTTACACTGTAACCAAGAAGGAAAGGAATGAGCTCTGGCTAGATGTGTGAAAAGATAATAAATCTGCATAATTTAAAAATCTGGCATCAGAAAGTTCCACTGTTTGCTGAGGTAGCATTCCCGGTTTTTGAGATTTATTGTGTTCTTATCTAATACGTTTAAATTTTAATTTCAAGATTTTTTGCCCCTGCGATATTTATAAGAATTATGCACTGTTTTCAATCTAGGAGATCGATGAAGGGGTTTTGGGGTTTTGGGGTTTTGGGG